GGGGGATCCGGGGGGATCCGGGGGGATCCCACCCAGGGCTGGGCCCCCCCCATCAACCGCTGCGGGGCGGGGGGGGCAAACGCCGGGACCCGGGGGGGGGTCCCCAATTCCACGAGGGGGTCCCCAACCCCTTGGGGGGGTCCCCAATCCCATGGGGGGTCCCCAATCCCGTGGGGGGGGTTCCCAATCCTGTGGGGGGGGGTCCGCACCCCACAGAGGACCTGCAGCCCCACGGGGGTCCCCCCCAATGGAAGGGGCTGCAGGAGGGGTCCCCCACCCTGGGGGGGTCCCCAATCCTCTGGGGGGACCCTCGCCCCCTCGGGGGGGTCCCGGTGCTGTGCCCCGAGTGGCAGCGGGGGGGTCACGAAGGCCCCAATCCCGGTGGGGGGGGGGGACGGGGACACCGAGGCGCCTCTGGTGACCCTCGGGGGCCAGTCTGGGGGCACAGGGGCGATTCTGGGGGTGCCTGGGCACCATTTTTGGGGTCATGAGCTGTTTGAGCACCTTTGGGGGAAGTTTTGGGGTCCCAGGCACCAACATGAATTTTGGGGGGATACCAGGCACCATTTTAGGGTCCCAGGAACCATTTTAGTTTTTCAGACACCATTTTAGGGTCCTAGACACTATTTTGGGGTCCCAAGCACCATTTTCAGGTCCTAGACAACATTTAAGGGTCCCAGGACCTATTTTAGGATCCCAAACACCATTTTAGGGTCCTATACATAATTTTTGGCTCCCAGACACTATTCTGGGGTCCCGGGGCCTATTTTAGGATCGCAGCTCCTATTCTGGAGTCTCAGGCCCTATTTTAAGGTCCTGGGCCCTCTTTTAGGGTCCCAGGCCCTATTTTGGGGTCCCAGCCCCTCTTTTGGGGTCCCTGGCCCTATTTAGGGTCCCAGCCCCTATTTTGGGATCCCAGGCCCTATTTTAGGGTCCCAGCCCCTCTTTTGGGTTCCCTGGCCCTATTTTGGCCACCCTGGGATGACCAGAACCGCCTCGGGCCCCGTTTTGGGGAGGATTTCGGGGAGGTCTCAGGGACGTTTCAGGGACGTGTCGGGGGTTCTCCGGGGGTTCTCCGGGGGTCTCGGGGGGCTCACCCAGGTTGAGGGTGAGCTTCATGCGCCCCCCGTCCAGCTCGAGGCGCAGGGTGTCGGCCGAGTGGCGCGAGGTGGTGGCCAGGACGAGGCCGAAGGCGCGGGGGGACATGAAGCGCAGGGACACGTCCTCGGCCTCCGTCTGCTCGCCCGGCACCTGCACCTTCAGGTACATGCTGCCGTCATAGCTCAGCACCGCCGCCTCTGCGGGGACAGGGACCCCCGTCAGCCCCGGCACGGCCACCCCCGCTGTGCCCCGGGGGTCCCCGCGGTGTCCCCGTGCTGTCCCCTCTGTCCCATGTCCCCGCAGTGTCCCCGTGTCCCCGCTGTCCCATGTCCCTGTTTGTCCCCGCTGTCCCCATGCTGTCCCCTCTGTCCCCTCTGTCCCGTGTCCCCGCGCTGTTCCCGCTGTCCCCACGGTTCCAGTGTCCGGTGTCCTGCTGTCCCGATGTCCCCACTGTCCCCATGTCCCCGTTTGTCCCCTCTGTCCCCGTGTCCCTGTGCTGTCCCCGCGGTCCCGGTGTCCCCACTGTCCCCGTGTCCCCACGCTGTCCCCTCTGTCCCGTGTCCCTGCTCTGTCCCCGCAGTGTCCCGGTGTCCCCACTGTCCCGGTGTCCCCGCTGTCCCCTCTGTCCCGTGTCCCCCCGTTGTCCCCGCGGTCGCGGTGTCCCTGCACTGTCCCCGTGTCCCTGCTGTCCCCTCTATCCCGTGTCCCCGCGCTGTCCCCGTGGTCCTGGTGTCCCTGCTCTGTCCCCGCAGTGTCCCGGTGTCCCTGCTGTCCCCTCTATCCTGTGTCCCTGCACTGTCCCCGTGTCCCTGCTGTCCCCTCTATCCCGTGTCCCCGCTCTGTCCCTGCACTGTCCCAGTGTCCCTGCTGTCCCCTCTATCCCGTGTCACCACAGTGTCCCGGTGTCCCTGCTGTCCCCTCTATCCCGTGTCCCCGCTGTCCCCTCTATCCTGTGTCCCTGCACTGTCCCAGTGTCCCTGCTGTCCCCTCTATCCCGTGTCCCTGCTCTGTCCCCACACTGTCCCGGTGTCCCCGCTGTCCCCTCTGTCCCGTGTCCCCCCGTTGTCCCCGCGCTGTCCCTGCACTGTCCCGGTGTCCCTGCTGTCCCCTCTATCCCGTGTCCCTGCACTGTCCCGGTGTCCCCGCTGTCCCCTCTATCCTGTGTCCCTGCACTGTCCCCGCAGTCCCGGTGTCCCCGCTGTCCCCTGTGTCCCGTGTCCCCGTGCTGTCCCCGTGGTCCCGGTGTCCCTGCTGTCCCCTCTATCCCATGTCCCCGCTGTCCCCTGTGTCCCGTGTCCCCGCGCTGTCCCCGCTGTCCCCGCGGTCGCGGTGTCCCTCACCCGTCTCGCAGCGCGGCCCCAGGTAGCCGGTGCCGCGGCAGTCGCACACGAAGCGGTTCCAGCCCTCGCGGCAGGCGCCGCCGTTGCGGCAGGGGCCGCTGGCGCAGAGCCGCGGCGGGTCCCGGGCGCAGAGCGGGGCGACCCCGGCCGCGCCCCCGGCGGGCAGCAGCGCCCGCACGTCGCGGCTGCGCCCGTCCACGAACAGGTCCCGCACGCAGCCCACGAAGCCCAGGCGCAGCCCCGCCGCCCACAGCTCGGGGGGCGCGGG